CTTTCATTTATTGTATTTCTTTGGGTGATCATAGCTCTCCATAATTTCCTATCATTTGTAGCCTTTATCAATTTTTTCTCCCCACTCTCCTTCCTAGGTCCCATTCTCTCATTCCTTTAGACATAGAAATTAGGGAGTCGACTAGATGTTATTCCCTGCTCCCCTTGTATTTAGTAGGGATTTTGTGTGTCACATTCTCTAAGCTCTCTGATCGTATTAGGGGCTCAACAAATCTATGTATAAGACAAATATCCGTCATGCAACATGTGTTTATAAACAAAAATAAAAATGCTATTATATTTTTTAATTTGTAATTAAAAAAAAAACTAATGAGTTTTCCGCTATCAAATTTTATCAAATAAAACTGCACCCCGGATTTCTTTCAAATATGTCCATTCCTGAAAGAACTTTCCCAAGCTAACATATTTGATTATTAAAATGTAAAAAACAAAAAAGCAAACGATTAAATTCATCACCTTCCTTTATTTAAATGATATGATATATGAATTTATCTCCTAGTAAAATAGTTTAAATGTAATTGCATAAAAACTCAACAACATTATCATGTACTCCCTTTTGTTTATTAAACATTAAGTGCGTAGGTATGCAGAAAATCGAAAAGAACACGTTGGGTGCATAATCCTGGGTTCCTTAGTATTTTTGTTTTTATTTTTAAGAAGACAGTGCTCCATACAGAAGTAGAGCTTATATTATAATAACATTTTTTTGTTTAAAAATATGATTCCTTCGCTACATAAGAGTTCTCATGTTTCAAAAACGAGAGCCGAAATCATCCAAATAATTATTAAAATTAAGTTGAATTGAGGTGTTTAGTCCTGTTTCATCTTCAAGCGAAATTTTAGGAATAAGCTATCTCTCGGTTTACGTGTGTTTTAGGTATTCCTAAAATTTCGCTTGAAGATGAAACGGGACTAAATACCACAATTCAACTTAATTTTAATAATTATTTGAATGATTTCGGCTCTCGTTTTTGAAACATGAGAAACACTTATATTTTAAACAGAAGGAATCATATTATAAATATAAATATATATATATATATATATATATATATATATATATATATATATATATATACAATTCAAAACTTTGAAGGAAGTCCCAGAATTACCAATTAAGTTGACGGAAGAGTGAAAAAAAAATGAAAGTAGCTCTTCGAGTCATTGAAAAAAAATGACATCTATCATAAAACTTATGCTTTGCAACGAATGCCAAAAATTTGTGCTGCAGTAATCCAGGCTAAAGAAGGATATTTTAAAGAGAGGAAAACTTAATTATAAAATTCTTCATTTTTCTTTTTGTCATCATAAAATTTCTAATAAAAAATAATAAAATCATTCACAAAAAATGAGATGATATTGAAAAACAAATATTTGCTGTACGAAATGAATGTTTTCTTTTCATCCCCCCCCAAAAAAAACGCATTGCTTTATAGTTTGTCTGCTATTATCGGTCATTTAACTGCCGAGTGTACCTCAGAGATGCTGCAGTCAGTCTAGCAGACTAATGCCCAGTGTTTCATTTTAGCTACGTGATTTATTTTCATTTTTCATTTTGAAATTCATTCTTTTTCTCAAGTGAAATATTTCTGAATCTTGCAAATATTCGTAACTTGTTGCAACATTTTCTTTATAGAAGATAAATGATATGGAAAATTATTCAAAATCGTTAAGAATATTTAATATTTGATGCCAATTTTTCCCCCGTGTTTGTTATAAAGAATAGATAAAATTCTTGATCAAATTTGGCCTGGTGCCTCTAAGGTGCTTCTGTTGTTAGAGATTTTTGATAAAATCCAAAGAAGAATCTGCAATGTTATCTGTTTTCACCACACCATCAGTTTCAGTCACTTTAACACCGACGTGACCTATCCCCACTCTGCTTTTGTCTATAAATAGTTTCATGGTAGCTGCTCTGGTGTGCTTTCTTCTTTAGTAATCATCAATATATATATAAAACAGATGATGTCTGTGTGTCTGTCTATGTGATACCTTTTCTCTCGAGATCCATCCAGCCGATTTTGACCAAACTTGGCACAATGTAAGAGATACTAAGCGTAAAAAATCGACAATTTTTTAAAAATCAATAATCGATAAAGCCGATCAAAAATCGATAAATTCAACTTTTTCCCCCGATTTAGTTCAAACTCAGTGTGTAAGTTACTTACATCATGACGATCTCAACCATCCCTCGTTTTTTATTTCTAAGCCACTGTGTTTAGCGAAAAACCGCTAAATTTTCAAACAACCAAATACAAACTTCACTCAATTGTAACCAACAATAAGTTGATTGTTTAACAGTCATTTAACTTGATAATTGAGTCCATTCATGTTGTGAAAACCCGCGTAAATAGCGAAAAATGGCGATTTTTACTGGTTTCTTTCTTATCTTTCGTTGATCATTCAACCAATTTTCATCCAACTTAACAATCTCTATCTATAAAAGGCAGGATGTGTGTGTGTGTGTAACGAATTCACAGCCGCAATTTTCGACGGGTTTGCATCAAAAGTTACATGCACATGCTCCAAGTTAGCGGGAAGGCCAAGACAGACTTTGCATTACCCAACTCCCATCGATAGTGGAAATAATCGATTTTTTCATGCTTCTAAGGCAGTTTTCATGTAGTTTGCGGCCATTTTCTAGTAACCAGAGTAAGAGCCTATAGCTGGCTGACACGAATAGGCAGGAAGATTCTATTGGCCAGCGTGAGAGCCAACAGCTGATTGACACGAATATTAACTAGTATGCTAGCATGCAAAAAAAAAAAATTGATAGCTGCATTCGTCACAAGTGGGAGCCAGCCAGCGAAATAAAGGGTTCAGTTCGACATTCCAACCAACTGAAGAAGTGCCGGAGCGTACAACGGCCGAAACGTTGTGATAAATATGGCAACAAATGTTTTAATATTTCGATTAATATAACATAGACATTCAGTTTTCTTTTTTATAAGTTTTTCTTGTTCCTTAAAACTATTTTTAGCTTTTGGAATGAACTTTTCCCTATTCCAGCGGGTCTTAAAGATTTTTGTGTGACATATACAAAAAAAGAAAAAAAAAAGACAGGCATATTTATCGACCCGTTATGAACTGTAGATAGCCACACCGAACCATGGCTGATGTCCAATTCCATGAGAGTCTCTCTCTCTGTACCTTTTTAGTTTCACGTTTTCCACTGACCTGAGGTGGAACAACTACATTAAATCAATAGCTCCTTCTACCAGAAGGAAAGTTGGTTCTCTGTGTCGCGCCAGAAGGTTTTTCTCACCTGCGTCCATCCTTCAAAGCCGCAAATCAACCATTCGTCCTTGCATTGAATACTTTTGCCATATTTGGTCTGGTGTCCTCACTGTCCATCTCTGTTAAATACAGAGACGGATATGCAATGTGATAGGTCCTGATCTTGCATCTCGTCTACAGATACTTTCTCACAGACATGATGTGGAACCCCTCTGTCTTTTCTACTAATATTTTCACGGCAACTGTTCTGACAAGTTACTTTCACTGGGGTCCCAGTTGCATGAATTTAAGCGTGTTACTAGATTGGCATCTCGGTCCCACCGTTTCACTGTCGAAACTGTTGAGGGGTTCTCCCCTTTTTTACAAAAATGGACTCACCCAGTATATACATAATGGACTCACCGAGTATATACATATACTACGGCTACGTGAAGAGTCGAGAGCAAGACCGAAGAGCCGTGTCGAGTCCAGAGTGACAGAGTAAAAGGTTGTAGGTAACCGGAAGAGTGAGGGCGAGGTAACAGCGTTGTAGGAGCCACAGTGAGCTGACACGTAGACTCAGTAAGAAGTCATGCAGCGATACTTCAATAAAAAAGACTGTATATATATATATATACATATATATATATATATATATATATATATATATATATATATATATATATATATTGCTACTAACCCGTATTCCTGGAATCCATTACTAACCTGCTTCACTAATTGTATTATTACGTTAATACATTATTTTCATATATTCATTCCTGGTGTTTGTTATTTATTGGTACCGGATTTCAACCCGGAATCCACAAGAGAAACAGTTAAATGTAACCGTCTCTTCTGCCCCAACAGATTCTTCTCTTGATCTTACCGCCAATGAAACTCTCTTCCTCTTACTTGCTTCCCTGATAGCTATAATCTTCAAATATCCAAGTGTAATGTCAATCAACATCTTCCGTTGCCTTGATCCTGATCTCCGTCCTTCGTTATATCATTTCTTCAAATACCCCTCTTTAGTCTTGCTCTCACTCTCTGTAACCGCTGGGGTGATAGTGGCGCTGCCCCCTTGTTTGGAGTGAAATGTTTAAAATAAAAAGAAACTACCATTATGTAAGCTTTAATAGTAAAATCCCTTTAACCAGTAGTGACCACCCTACACTAACAAACGCCCTACAGCAGAGGCCCAAATACTTAATGTTATAAGCAATAGTTATCAATAGAAATAGAGAAAGATGGACCCATTGGAAAAAGTCATCTTTATCGTCACTTCTCAACATCCGATAGCCATTTATTCGATCAATAATTATAATGAATTCCTTATCGACAAATTCCGTTACCGACAACTCTGACTTTTCCGTTTTTTTTTTTTTTTTAATTTCAATTGCAATTATTTACATGTTTGGCATATTTCGACACAAAAGTGTCCATCTTGACATCGTTAAATTAATTAGACTTACATTTTCCTTTCTTGTCTTCCTAGAGATTAATTTGATTTTTGCAAATAAGTCGAGAGCAGCTCTTCATTGAAAGATGAACAATCGAACTTTTCACATTTAAGAAAGCGAAGCAAGAGTCTGTTGTTGACTTCTGACTTTGTTCGAGTTTTGACTCCAAGTAATACACGTCACCCCATTGTTATCACTCAGTTCTCGTCCCCACTTAAGGAACTACAAGAAGACTCTCGACAACAAACGTGACCTGACTTAAATTCTTTCTTCGGATCTACCATGTTTCGTTCTTTGTCTTCAAATGTTTTATTTATATTTTGACATTTTCCCTTTTTCTCGTTCTTTTATTTTTCTTTCTTTGCTGACGCATTTGTTTATGATTTGTTTCTAATTTTTTTTCTTTCATTTTCAGTCCTGTTTTTCCTGGTTTCTTTTCTGATTGCTATAAACTGTGTTTCCTTTAGATTTCCGCCTACTGTGTTTTTCTATATATTTATGGCTATTTATTTATTTATTCACTTTTGGGAAAATTCTTTCTTTCATTCTTTCTTTTTAATCAATTTTCATTTATTTCTCTCTCACTCTTCTCTCTCTTTCTTTGTATATCTTGATTTTCTTTCTTTCTTTTTCTTTCTGTCTTTTTTTTCTTTCTTTTCATTTACTTCTGCCCGGCTCTTCTCTCTCTCTTTCTTTTATATCTTGATTTTTTCTTTCTTTCTTTTTTTTTCTGTCTTTTTTTTTCTTTCTTTTCATTTACTTCTGCTCAGCTCTTCTCTCTCTTTCTTTGTATATCTTGATTTTCTTTCTTTCTTTTTTCTTTCTTTCTTTTTGTCTTTCTTTTCATTTACTTGTAGCTCTTCTCTTCTTTTTATATCGAGGGCATTTTCTTTCTTTTTTTTTCTTTCTGTCTTTTTTTTTTTTTTCTTTTTACTTCTGCCCGGCTCTTCTCTCTCTTTTCTTTGTATATCTTGATTTTCTTTTCTTTCTTTTTCTTTTCTGTCTTTTTTCTTTCTTTTCATTTACTTCTGCCCGGCTCTTCTCTCTCTTTCTTTGTATATCTTGATTTTCTTTCTTTCTTTTTCTTTCTGTCTTTTTTTTCTTTCTTTTCATTTACTTCTGCCCGGCTCTTCTCTCTCTTTCTTTGTATATCTTGATTTTCTTTCTTTCTTTTTCTTTCTGTCTTTTTTTTCTTTCTTTTCATTTACTTCTGCCCGGCTCTTCTCTCTCTTTCTTTGTATATCTTGATTTTCTTTCTTTTTCTTTCTTTTTCTTTCTGTCTTTTTTTTCTTTCTTTTCATTTACTTCTGCGGCTCTTCTCTCTCTTTCTTTGTATATCTTGATTCTTCTCTCTCTTTCTTTTGTATATCTTGATTTTCTTTCTTTTTCTTTTCTTTCTTCTTTTTCTTTTTTTTTCTTTTCTTTCATTTCTTTGTATATTTGATTTTCTTTCTTTTTTCTTTCTTTCTTTTTCTGCCCCAAGCTCTTCTTTTCTTTCTTTTTTTCTTTCTTTCTTTCTGTCTTTTTTCTCTTTTCATTTACTTCTACCGGCTCTTCTCTCTCTTTTTTGTATCTTGATTTTCTTTCTTTTTCTTTGTCTTTTTTTCTTTCTTTTCATTTACTTCTGCTCTTCTCTCTCTTTCTTTTTATCTTGATTTTCTTTCTTTCTTTTCTTTCTGTCTTTTTTTTCTTTCTTTTCATTTACTTCTGCCCAGCTCTTCTCTCTCTTTTCTTTGTATATCTTGATTTTCTTTTTTTCTTTTCTTTTCTGTCTTTTTTTCTTTTTTTCATTTACTTCTGCCAGCTCTTCTCTCTCTTTCTTTTGTATATCTTTTTTTCTTTCTTTTTTTTCTTTCTGTCTTTTTTTCTTTCTTTTCATTTTACTTGTGGCTCTTCTCTCTCTTTCTTTTTCTTTCTTTTTTCTTTCTTTCTTTTTCTTTCTGTCTTTTTTCTTTCTTTTTCTTTTCTTCTTTTCTCTTCTCTTTTCTTTGTATATCTTGATTTTTCTTTCTTTCTTTTCTTTCTGTCTTTTTTTCTTTCTTTTCATTTTACTTTGTCAGCTCTTCTCTCTCTTTCTTTGTATATCTTGATTTTCTTTTCTTTCTTTTTCTTTCTGTCTTTTTTCTTTTTTTCTTTCTTTTTCATTTCTTCTCTCTCTTTCTTTTTATTTTGTATTTTCTTTTCTTTCTTTTCTTTCTGTCTTTTTTCTTTCTTTTCATTTTTTCTTGGCTCTTCTCTCTCTTTCTTTTATCTTGATTTTCTTTTCTTTTTTTCTCATTGTCTTTTTTTTCTTTCTTTTTCATTTACTTCTTGGCTCTTCTCTCTTTCTTATCTTGATTTTCTTTTTTCTTTCTTTTTTCTTTCTGTCTTTTTTTTCTTTCTTTTCATTTTACTTCTAGCTCTTCTCTCTTTTTTTTTATATCTTGATTTTCTTTCTTTCTTTTCTTTTCTGTCTTTTTTCTTTCTTTTCATTTAGAAAACATCGGCTCTTCTCTCTCTTTTTCTTTGTATATCTTGATTTTTTTCTTTCTTTCTTTCTTTTTCTTTCTTTTTTTTTTTTCTTTCTTTTCATTTACTTCTGCCCGGCTCTTCTCTCTCTTTCTTTGTATATCTTGATTTTCTTTCTTTCTTTTTCTTTCTTTTTCTTTCTGTCTTTTTTTTCTTTCTTTTCATTTACTTCTGCCCGGCTCTTCTCTCTCTTTCTTTGTATATCTTGATTTTCTTTCTTTCTTTTTCTTTCTGTCTTTTTTTTCTTTCTTTTCATTTACTTTAGGCTCTTCTCTCTTTCTTTGTATATCTTGATTTTCTTTCTTTTCTTTTTTTCTTTCTGTCTTTTTTCTTTCTTTTCATTTTACTTCGCTCTTCTCTCTCTTTCTTTTATATCTTGATTTTCTTTTCTTTTTTCTTTCTGTCTTTTTTTTTCTTTTTTTTTTTACTTGTGCCGGCTCTTTCTCTCTCTCTTTCTTTGTATATCTTGATTTTCTTTTCTTTCTTTTCTTTTTCTGTCTTTTTTTTTCTTTCTTTTCTTTCTTTCTCTTTTTCTTTCTTGATTTTCTTTTTTTTTCTTTTTCTTTTTTTCTTTTTTACTTCTGCCCGGCTCTTCTCTCTCTTTCTTTGTATATCTTGATTTTCTTTCTTTCTTTTTCTTTCTGTCTTTTTTTTCTTTCTTTTCATTTACTTCTGCCCGGCTCTTCTCTCTCTTTCTTTTGTATATCTTGATTTTTTTCTTTCTTTTCCTTTTTTTTTTTCTTTTTTTCATTTACTTCTTTTCTTTCTCTCTTTTTTGTATATCTTGATTTTCTTTCTTTCTTTTCTTTTGTCTTTTTTTTTCTTTCTTTTCATTTCTCTCTTCTCTCTCTTTCTTTGTATATCTTGATTTTCTTTCTTTTTTTTTTCTTTTTTTCTTTCTGTTTTTTTTTTTTTCTTTTCATTTTTCTTCAGCTCTTCTCTCTCTTTCTTTGTATATCTTGATTTTCTTTTTTCTTTTTTCTGTCTTTTTTTTTCTTTTCTTTTCTTTTACTTCTCTCTTCTCTCTCTTTCTTTGTATATCTTGATTTTCTTTTTTCTTTTCTTTCTTTTTTTTTCTTTTCTTTTCTTTTCTTTCTTTTTCTTTCTTTTATATCTTGATTTTCTTTCTTTCTTTTCTTTCTGTCTTTTTTTCTTTTTTTCATTTACTTCTGCCTGGCTTTTCTCTCTTTCTTTGTATATCTTGATTTTTTCTTTCTTTCTTTTATCTTTCTGTCTTTTTTCTTTCTTTTCATTTTACTTCTTCTTCTCTCTTTTTCTTTGTATATCTTGATTTTTTTCTTTTTTTTTCTTTTCTGTCTTTTTTTCTTTTCTTTTCATTTTTACTTGCCCGGCTCTTTCTCTCTTTTCTTTGTATATCTTGATTTTTCTTTCTTTCTTTTTCTTTCTGTCTTTTTTCTTTCTTTTCACTTCTGCCCGGCTCTTCTCTCTCTTTTTCTTTTTTTTTTGATTTTTCTTTCTTTCTTTTTCTTTCTGTCTTTTTTTTTCTTTCTCTCTTTTCTTGATTTTTCTTTCTTTCTTTTTCTTTCTGTCTTTTTTTTTCTTTTCATTTACTTCTTTTCTCTCTCTTTCTTTTGTATATCTTGATTTTCTTTCTTTTCTTTTTCTTTCTTTTCTATCTCTTTTTCTTTCTTTTCATAGATCTTCGTTTGCTTCCTCTTCTCTCTCTTTCTTTTATATCTTGATTTTCTTTCTTTCTTTTTTTCTTTCTTTTTTTTTCTTAACTTCTTGGCTCTTCTCTCTCTTTCTTTTGTATATCTTGATTTTCTTTCTTCTTTTTTCTTTCTGTCTTTTTTTTTCTTTTCTTTTATTTATGCCCGCTCTTCTTCTCTCTCTTTCTTTGTATATCTTGATTTTTTTCTTTTTCTTTCTTTTCTTTCTGTCTTTTTTTTCTTTCTTTTCATTGCTCTTCTCTCTTTTCTATATCTTGATTTTTTTCTTTTTCTTTTTCTTTCTGTCTTTTTTTTTTTTTTTTTTCATTTACTTCTGCCCGGCTCTTCTCTCTCTTTCTTTGTATATCTTGATTTTCTTTCTTTCTTTTTTCTTTTCATCTGTCTTTTTTTTTCTTTTTTTTACTTGCCCGGCTCTTCTCTCTTTCTTTGTATATCTTGATTTTCTTTCTTTCTTTTTCTTTTGTCTTTTTTTCTTTCTTTTCATTTTTCTGTGGATTTCTTTTCTCTTTCTTTTGTATATTTGATTTTCATTTACTTCTTGGCTCTTCTCTCTTTTTTTATATCTTATTTTCTTTCTTTTTCTTTCTTTTCTTTTGTCTTTTTTCTTTCTTTTCATTTTCTTTTCTCTCTTTCTTTTGTATATCTTGATTTTCTTTCTTTCTTTTTCTTTCTGTCTTTTTTCTTTCTTTTTCATTTCTTCTCTCTTCTCTTCTTTCTTTTGTATATCTTATTTTCTTTCTTTCTTTTTCTTTCTGTCTTTTTTTCTTTCTTTTTCATTTACTTCTGCCCGGCTCTTCTCTCTCTTTCTTTTGTTTCTTGATTTTCTTTCTTTCTTTTTCTTTCTGTCTTTTTTTCTTTCTTTTTTTTACTTTGCCCGGCTTTCTTTCTTTCTTTGTATATCTTGATTTTTTTCTTTCTTTTCTTTCTTTTTTTCTGTTTTTTTTCTTTCTTTTCATTTACTTCTGCAGCTCTTCTCTCTCTTTCTTTGTATTTGATTTTTTTCTTTTTCTTTCTGTCTTTTTTTTCTTTCTTTTTTTCATTTATCTTTCTTTTTTTTTTTTTTTTTTTCATTTTTTACTTATATCTCTTTCTGTAGATCTTCGTTTTCTTCCTTTTTTTTTCTTTCTTTCATTTAAATCTTTGTTTTAATTTATTTCTGCCCCAATCTTCTCTCTGTTTCAGTATATATCTTCGTTTTCTTTCTTTCTTTTTCTTTCTGTCCTTTTTCTTATTTTCTTTCTTTTTCATCTTTTTTTCACTTATGTCTCCCTCATTCTTTTCAATCTTTCTGTGGATATCTTTGTTTTCTTTTTTCGTACATTCTTAATTTATTTTTCTTTACTTTTTTTAATATTTCTTTGCATTTATTTCTGTTTCACTCTTCTCTCTTTTTCTGTATATATCTTCATTTTCTTTCTTTCCCTTTCTTTCTTTCCCTTTCCTTCTTTCTTTCTTTTTTGTTTCCTTCTTTCTTTCTTTCTTTTTTCTTAAAACTTTTTTCATTTATTTCTTTCTCACACGTCTCTCTTTCTTCCTATGTATATCTTCGTTTTCGCCTTTCTTTTATTCATTTGAATCTAAATTTTCATTCTCATTCTCCCTCACTCTGTGTTCTCTTTCTGTGTATATCTTCGTTTTCTTTTTCATTTCATTTTCTTTTTCTTTTTTTATTTTCATTTAAAATATTTTTGCATTTTATTTCTCATCTCTTTTTCCTTTACCGAACTTCATTTTCTTTCTTTCTTTCTTTATTATTTTCATTTATATTTTCACTTATTTCTCTCTCATTCCTTTATCTGTTTCTGTGTATATTTTTGTTTGCTTTCTTTCTTTCTTTCTTTCTTCATATTTCTTTCTTTCTTTCTTTCTTTCTTTCTTTCTTTCTTTCTTTCTTCTCCTGTAGTAAGTTGGTTTAAATTATTTTTTACTTAATCAGCTAAAGAGACTTCCTTTTAATTTTACTCGTTTTTTTTTAAACTTTCTTGACAACTATTTATTTATGGCATTTTATCAACAATGGTTTGCAGTTACCCTGATAATTACTAGCGCTGCTCTTGCTTATATTTAGTAAAATGTACAATTCTTTTACAATGACATTTTACTTACATATTCGTTTTAATTTCTGACTACATTATCCATTAAATTTATCACACATAAGACAACAGAAGAAGAACATCAATGGCAATCGAACCTACTACAGTAGTAATTTCTATTCAGAGAGTCCTGTGCGTGTTTTATTCTCTACACATTCTTTCCTACTATTTCTTTTTTACTGTAATTATATGTTGTCTTGAATACTTCTCCGCTGGGCAGGCTATCTTCAGAAAGAAAAACAAGAGATAGCTTTGTTTCCCACAAGAGACATTGCACTTGCATTCCCAGTTATTTCAATTATATTCTTACTGGCCAGCCCCCATTTTTATTTAATATATTTAAAATTTTTCTCAAATCTGTTCTTGCTAAATTCTTAAGACCATTTTCTTTCTTCTTCTTATCCGACATTTTCGTTATTTATTTTTCTCTGTTTAATTTGTTACCAACACTTAATAATTATACCTGCTTCCATTTTGCTTTCAGGTCTTTAATATGATACATAGCAAACTTTATATATATATATATATATATAAACAAACTATATATTTTCAATATATATAAACTTTCTCTGGAAAGATGGAGACTAGTAGATTCCTGTATCTTCGGATAAGCATGCAGTCCTCCATGTAATAAAATGAATTCAGGTTTGTATTTCCAGTGTACAGTATGATAAGCAAATATAAATGGATATAAATCCGACTGAATGAAGAAAATATCTGGAAAAACAAAACAAAAATCCTTAAAATACAGGAATCTACTAGTCTCCGCGTATTCCTACAAGAACAGAAAAGATTTTCTAACGAACTGTATATATGAAAAATCTTTCCATCGGAATCAAATTTATAAAATTTTAAGAATACGTTGTGAAAGGAAAGCGTCGCCCATTTGACGACAACGTGACCACGCTCAAACGGAAAGCTGATCATTTAAAATTTTCCTTTATCTGTTTTTGGATAAGACTTGTTTTTATGTCCATCGTTTTCTACTGATTATGTTAATTGTATTTTTAATGAATATTGACCTGAAGAAGGTTATTAAACCGAAACGTCAGACGTCGACATTTCATTCATATTAAAACAACATAATCGCATTTTAAGGATTTTTTTTTGTTTTTTGATTTTTTCTTCATATATATATAGATATATATATATATATATATATATATATATATATATATATATATATATATATATATATATGTGTCTGTTAGTTGTACCAAACATCGCTTGAGAATGAAACTGTCCTCTGGAGTTATGGTTTAATGTTGAAATTAAACTTTGTCACTTTCTGTTTCGAAACACAGTAATAGCTGTCTCCGATGGAATGATTTTTTTAAATAATATATATATATATATATATATATATATATATATATATAGCAGCATGGCCCGGCGTTGCCCGTGCTTGATTCAAAAATCGCTATCACTTGACTTAAAATAATAGTTTTACCCTTCCTTGCCTTTAACGGAGTGCTCTTTGCCGTGCTGATGTTGCTACATGCCTTAATTCTTGCCTATCTCACACTGCGAATTTTGTCTATGCTCTATACTAAACATTAAATATGTTATGAAAAAAGTACTAAACAAAATGAACACAAAACGATCAGCTTTAAAAAAGGACTCGTAACTGGAAAAACTGAATGATAAAAGAATGTTAAAAACAAATACTTTTTCACACCCAACCCAGTTCTGCGGAATCAGAATCACCGTTGAGTTTAAGCAAGCGAATGAGCCAATTGGAGTAAAGTGCCATGCAGATTTAAATTTTTACAACTTGTGACGAATGCAGCTATCGAATTTTTTTGCATGCTAGTATGCTAGTTAACATTCATGTCAGTCAGCTGTTGACTCTCACACTGGCCAATAGAATCTTCCTCTCTATTCGTGGCAGCCATCTATAGGCTCTGACTCTGGCCAGTACAAAATGGCCGCAAACTACATGAAAACTGCCGTAGAAAGCATGAAAAAATCGATTATTTCCACTATTCGATGGAAGTTGGGCAATGCAAAGTTTGTCTTGGCCTTCCCTTAACTTGGACATGTGCATGTAAATTTTGGTGAAATGCGTCGAAAATTACGGCTGTGCATTCGTTATACACACACACACACACACACACACACACACACACACACACTTGCCTTTTATAGATATATAGATATATATTGCATATATATATATATATATATATATATATATATATATATATATATATATATATATATATATAAATATATTGCGTATATATATATATATATATATATATAAATATATACACACTATATATATAAGTATATTTCTATATAAACACAATATATATATATATATATATATACACTATATATATAAGTATATTTCTATATAAACACAATATATATATATATATATATATACACACAAATATATATATATAAATATATTGCGTATATATATACATATAAATATAAATAATCTTGTGTATTTGGACTGCGATCCCCTTTTATTCAGGATTCAATGGAAATTGAAAACG